TTACTGCCCGGACTACAACTCGTGCAAGAGATCGTACTGGTTCTGCGCCGCGTCACGCGCTGCGCAGCTACCCTAATTATTATAATTATAATGTTTTAGTATTACGGTATCGCATTATTACACTACAAAGGTACTTAAGTATTATGATATTACGGCATTACGGCACATAATATTTACGGCAATTATGTTCTGTGTCGTAATTAATTCTACCATATGGTAGAATGCCGTAATGCCGTAATTCTACCGCCAACACTAATTAAAAGTAACTATAACGAGGTCTGATAGTTAAAATTTTTTATAACTTCAAACAGAAATAATTTAACAAAATCTTAATCAAATTTAATAAAAATTTTTGGACTATCTCATAGGTTTTATTAATGTCATCCTCCTGATTTGTGTAACTTTATGTAGATCAATTTAATTTTATAAAAATTAAACATTTAACTAAAAGCATCTTGATAGCTATCCAAACAAATGCAATCCTTTTTACTTAACGCTGAAGATCTCTAGAATTGAGAAGTATAGTTAATGAAGTGACAGGACGATCATTATTGCAAGATCAGATGACTTTACGGATTTCAAGTGCGCTTTAGCCTTTTATGGCTATTTGTAGCAAATTCTGGGATTTCTTGTTAAATGCAAGTTATTTCTAGTTATTGTTGTGATCGCATATGATTGTTCGTGTTGCTCATTGTTATGAATTAGTAAATAAAGTAAAGAGTTAGTCATATAACGCCGAGTATGATCAGGGGAAATGTTATCGAATATTCGTGAGAAAGTATTTAAGGGTTGCTTAGGTGTTAAGAACAGAGGTCTTTTTCGATTTTTAACAGCTGCCCTACCTTGTTTGGTGCGTCGAAAGTGCGTCGGGGTATTTCAAGTATAACCCGGGTTTGCATTATCGAATTACATTATATAATTGGAAACTTTACTATGTATTTGAAACGCAGGAAGATACTCTCCTTATACAAACCCGGGTTATACTTGACATACCCCAGACGCACTTTCGACGCACCAAACAAGGTAGGGCAGCTGTTAAAATTGAAAAAGACCTCTGCTATTGTTAAGGAGTTGATGAAAGCCGGCTCTTTCGCCCACCTCTTCTGCCAAACTCGCAATAATATCACAACCTGGAGCAGTGCAAGTCACTATTGAAAGCTAGAAGCAGTAGGCGGTGCAAGGGCTTTAGTTAGTAGTATGATGGAGCGTCAACAGTGCAAAGACCCACCCATCACTCTCGTTCGAATAATAGCGTCTGATTCTTCTCTTTATAGTTATCGTTTTCCCTTCTTGTGGGCCATTTCTTTATGCGCAAAGATATTGGGCAAGTTCGAAATGGCACAGAATAGGAAGGAACGAAGTGACTCCGATTAGATTCTAAACGTAGTGTGACCATTGGCTGGAAGAGCAATTACGGATGGTAATCTAATTTAGCTCCAATGGTTCACTTGGTTTAGCACTTGTACACGTGATATGATGTCACGAAATAACTTTAATCGGGTCGGGCTATCGCTTAATCAGATCAACTTTAATTATTTGGGATAACTAACAATGTAATATGTGATACAGTAACAAAGAAATAATACAATCAATAACTCATTGAGAAATCGATTCTTATTATAAACTATTACTATCTGAGGAAACTTTATTAAGGTGAAAACTCAGGTTTTAAATACATTTCAATTTACTAAGAGCTACTGTGCTATTTTTTAATCTCAACCTTATTTTCCCAGCAATGACGCGTCAGAAAAGCCACTAGAAATTTGCTTACATTTTTGTTCACAATTTGTACGTCATTTGGCTTGACATTTTGCTCACAATAACCAGTTTCCTACTATCATACGATCTCATTTTATCTAATGTTTATCGTATGTTAAGAACTATCAACCACCGGGATTGATCTGTATTTCTAAGCCTTCAGCAGCGACCTAACAGCCTCACAATATTCTTGTGGCTCGACAGTCCTTATAATAAACATGTGCTGGATCGGCACAGGTTGGTTTCGGATAGGTACGGGTTAAGATCCGGATTTGTACAGGTATGGTCCGAGTTGGTACGGGTTGGTGGACTGTGTAGGACTGTATGCTTGTGCCAATTGGGCCGTAAATAGCTCAAACCTTGCAGCAGTTTACTGGTCAAATCAGCACGTGATTGGCACGGGTAATGATACGTAAATTCACGTTCGTATGTACCACCACGATATAATAAATACAACATGTAGATTAATGATTAAAACATATATTACATATCGGCGGATTTGTGGAATTTGATAAATAGAATTACCCATGAGCTGTAAATCTGGTAAAATTTGCAGATTATTTGACAGCTTTGAAGTTAAATAATTTCAAACCAAGCCAAATGATATGTAAATTTGACCAGAACTACGGCTCATGGGTTTTTCTATTTATCAAATCCTCCAATATGATAATCAATATAACATGAAAAACTAACTGCATATGAAGTAAAATTTTGTAAGGAATTTTTTTTGTTAAGATACTCAAAGCAGCTTCATCAGTGATATTGCACTTAGGCGAGACCAACTGGATTCTGTGTTTTACATTACCTCCCCTTCCCTCCTCAGCGTTCCCCCTCTCCCTCATAGTAAAAAAATTTAGATAACTATACATAGGCTACGGGATTTTCGGAAAATTTTTATACAGCCACGGAACAATTCGGAAATATTTTTTTTGAAATTTTACTATGTAAATCACAAATTCCGAAGGGGAGAAGTGGGTAATGTAAAACACAGAATCCGGTTGGTCTCGCCTTAGGGATGGCTCGGTCGGCTATTAGCTGACTATTATCGCTAGCCGCGGCTATAACTGATCAATATCTCGTATGGGTGGATTTGACGCAAGTAAATCTCAATTTAATAATTCAGTAATTAGATATGAAATCAAAGATTTTTATTGGAATTTTTATTGGATGTTTGCTCTGACTAATTTCCTTATTTAGTAATGTGCAATCAGAAGTTAATCACAACAAACATCACCTTAATGACGTGTAATAAAATGATTGGTCGCTTATACAATTTTGTGATTTGTTTATAAATCAAAATATACACGTATATCTGTTCGAATTATCACATCAATTAGTCCGATCCGCCCATTGTCACGGCTTGGGGAGAGACTTGTGTACCTCGTTACCAATTTAGCTTTGAGCCGTGAACATTAGGGTACTAAAAGAATATAAGTTTTATATTATTGGGAGGGCGAATATTATATTTATTTATTTAAATATAAAATTAATCAATCGCACCAAGTCACGTAAATTTATGCCTCTAGATTATGGCATCAATATCCAATACAAAGGAATCATATACTGTATATCTTAGAAGTTAAATAAGTTAAGTTTGTATAAAATTTTTATTAAAATAAAATACGTATCACTAGGGATAAGCAAATCGATTTTTTTTTGAATCTACTGCGGCCCACATTTTAGTTTATCTCTAATGCAGGATGCAGGCCAGAATTGAAATATTCCAAAATTCCGAACTATTCCACCTGCGCGGCATCCCATTCCTACATATCACAAACTATAATTTGATATGTAAAATTGATAATTTTAGATATAGATTCCTTATGATTTAAAAATTTTAGAAAATTTGTTAATACTTGAAATTTTAGTGGAAATTTTATATCGCCACAAATGTGTGTCGATCCTTGTCAAAACAATTTGCAAATTATTTGAATGGAAATTCTGGGTTTCCACCGCAAATTTGACCAGAATTAGATTGTTTTGACAAAGATCGATATGCATTTGTGAATCTTAGGGTTGTAATAACTTACCTGACAATGTAACTTACATTGTAACTTACATCGTAAGTTACATAACTCTATGTAAGTTACAAAATATATCATAGTAAAGCAGGTCGGCTTTGTATTAATGCCGGCCAGAATAAATTTCGCCAGCATTAAGGTTATTAAAGGATGAAATTATTATTATTATTATACATACCTTACCTTACATGGTAACTTACATAACTTAAAATGTAACTTACATTTTACAGTAAGTTATACAACCCTAGTGGATCTACATCAAGTGCAGATCATTTGACCAGAATTAAAATTGGTGGTTTTAGATCTGGCCAAATGATCTGCAAATTTGACCAGAATTATGAATAATGAGTTTTTCTATCAATTAAATCCGCCAACGTGCTATCTTGTCAAACTAAATATAATTATTCTTGTTTTTATAAACTAGGACGTTAAAAATCTGGAATAAGCCACAACTTTAGCCAGCCGGCTAAGCCGTTCAGTCAACTAATACCAGATATAGCTAATAGCCGGTTATAACTGGCTATAGCCGTAGCCATTCCCATCTCTAATTGCACTTTTTTAAAAAAAAATCACTTATTGATCTTTCGTTTCTACAAAACAAGCCAACATGTATTATGAGTTAACACGTGTGCAACGTACATATATGTACATGTCATCTGAACTTGCTGTTCCATCCCTATAAGAAAAGTGGTACGGGTCGTGGTACGGGTTGGTTTCGGGAATGTACGAAGTGGCACGGATTGTGTGGCA